AGGTTGAGGAGCAAAAGGAGGTGGTCGATGGGAAAGTAAGAAATGAATGAATGTTCTGTTAGAAAAATGTAGAATAATACACCTACCAAGACGACAAGACTTCTCAATTCTCATGTATGGATGTTTTTGCGTAAACAAGTCAATGGCCAATTTTGTTCCTATTTGCCTATGCAACCTTTGGACACCAAGTGATTCAATTCATGCAACGACTATTGTCTTTCAGAAAGTTTGCCAAATTTGAATGAATTGTAAGAATTCTATTGTGATGCCAGTCAGTACAAATTTCAAACTTGGGGGATTTTAATCATGTCAAGAAATCTCGCGAAAATACCACCACAATTTCTCGGTTACTAAATTTGTATCATCATCTACATATTCAGGAATCGGAATCATGTACACACTCAAAATCCCATCCAATGCGAATACCAGTACATCATAGTCACAACAAGGGACAAATAAGTGGACAATAAGTGATATTTAAATCGATCTTTTAGTTGGTTCACAGCCCTACATGAAGAAAAACGCAGGATAAAGAGCTAAAAAATCTAATAGATATAAATTATAGTACAGTAAAGATAAAGACCAATGAAACACATTAACTTCAACCTAAAAGACATCGAAACATTGCTACCTAATGGTTCGAGACAATGACTCAAAACAGTATAGAAATACATACTAAATTGGAACTTCCATTTTTACGGGAGACGGTGCTGTATCAACAGTGGCAGAATGAAGCCAGTCCTTTGCACAGATAAGGGCCTCCACTGTCTCTGGTCGTAGTGAACATCTGTAACTATCCATCTCCTTACGTTTGGAATCAAATACAGAAGCACTAGGAACGGTGCAAACAGGTACCGACAAGACATCACAAGCCATCCTTGATAGAGTCGGGTACTTCACTTTGTTTAGTTTCCACCACCCTACCACATCAAATTCGTGGACACGGGGTAACAGGGACTCCTCCAAGTATTGATCCAATTCTGACCTCGACTGCTGGCTTGTAGACTCCATGATAAATACATCAAAATCAGCAAGTCCTAGACCATTGCTCGCGAGTCCAATTCCTTGGGGATCCTCTGACTTCATAGTCATCCCATTCGCTTCTTCAGCATAAGCGGGAGTTAGAGGCAGAGGACGAGCCACATATTCCAGGAAAAGCTCATGGATTCCCTCATCCACAATTTTCACGTATGAGGCAGCCTCTTCACCATATATTTTGGAAAAACTAAATTCAACAAGCTTCATTTTGAATCGTGGATCCATAACTACTGCCATTGCTAAGACAAAGCAGCAACTCCTCCAGTATTTATCAAAGTTCTCCTGCATTAACTTGGTCAGGCTGCTGATCACAGGGTCATCGCTTGCCCCTGCACGTGCCAATTCCAACTGAATCTTCCATGCTTCATGGAAGAACGTGTTCGTTGTTGGCATAGTTGGAGTTGTCAAGAGATTGGCAGTGTCAAAAAGGGGCTTCAAGTATGTACACAGAGTCTCAATCTGCTTCCAATCTTCCATCGACGGGGCATCCTTGTAATCAGGATCAGAAGTGTCCAAACAAGAGAAGACTTCCTTTAACTCCGATGCAGCCAACAACATTTCGTAAGTTGTGTTCCACTGAGTTTGGTCATCAATAGCAAGGCTCTTTGCACTTGGCACTTGAAGTTGCTGTTTAAGCTCGAGAAACTTTTCCTCACGCGAATCTGAAGTTTTCACATACTTGACACTATCTCTGACTTTATTAACAATTCCCTCCACAGAAGTTAGTGCTTCTTGGACTATGCTGCTTAGAGATCGAGCAAGGCAATTTCCGACCAACAATTGACCATTAAGAATAAGGGGATTCTTAACGGAGAGTAGAGCTCTAAGGTTATCAACTGCGGCATCACTCAGTGGTTGATTGATGGCAACAGAAAATAACTTGCCATCCATACTCCAATCAGAAAGGCAAGCAGCAATAGAATGACTGAAAGCAGCATCTGAATCAGGATACGGTTCCATTATGACATTGAGGAGTTTACGGTGCATTTTCCACTCGCTATCAATGAACTGCCCAGTTACGAACATGTAGCCCATAGTTTGGCATGAGGACCATAAGTCCAGTGAAAGGCAGATACGCCCAGGAATCCCCTCAAACACCTTCTGAATGTTTTGCTTTTCCCTAAGATAGGTTGCCACACAATCCCCTTGTACAGTGTTGAAGCTCACCATGTCAAAACGAGGTTGAAGATTATGAACAAATGCCACAAAACCAGGATGTTCAACAATATGAAGGGGGTAGTCGTGCATAATAATCATTCTAGCAATCTCGTGTCGGCACCGATCTGGATCAAATGCAAAGTAAGGTACGCTGGCAGTTCTGTAACGTCGTTTTGGCGCATCAGAATATGTGCCCGTCTTTGAAGGGGCACTGTATGGGGTTGATTGGTTCTTCTCCTGATTACGCAAGACAACTGGGCAAGTTCCCTTGGCTATGTGCCGCTTGAGATGACTTGTGCCAGCTACCTTAGAGCCTGTGCTGTATGCAAATGACTGCTTGCATTGTTTACAGCATGCCCTTCTAGTACCAGGACCAACGGTTTCAATAGTGAAATGTTCCCAAACTATTGACTTCTTTTTCCTACGCCTAGTGGATTGTCCCTCAATGTTGTTGGCTGGTGTCTCTGTGTTGATGATTTGTCTCTCCAAATTGTCAATCTGCATCTCTGAATTCATGGGTTCATGGGGTTGTGGGTCCACCGGGACAAGCTCGTTGTTCATGACTTCAGTAGGGCTTTCCATCTCAAGAGACATGTGATGTGATGGACAATTTCTGCAAAATAAGCAATACATTAATTCCTACAACAATTAAGTCACAAGATGGATCAACCCTGAAGGCACACACTGTGTAAACCCAGATACAAGTAAATGAAGGGGATTATCATTTCTTACACAACACTTCGAGCATCATTACCATTTGCAGACTGAAATGATCACAGAATACAATTAGAAATTGAATCATAAAAGCATGTTATAACTTTGTGTAAATAGTTGAATTAGGCATTAGTTTCCTCGTCATCTGATTTCTTTGCCACTTAATTCTGTTCTTTACTCTATTATATGAGGGTCGTGAATATATGAGAATTTGTGAGCATACATTGTAGCCAAGAAAGTGTAGTAATCTCTGAAATTCAACTCCAGCTCCACAATAGAAACATACATTCTATTGCACTAACTTGACAAATATAAATACCCCAGTGCAGACCTGTTGCATACACTGCCAACAGAGTAACGAGCTCCTTCAGACATTATATGGAAAAATTAAAGCATGTTGCAAGTTGTGAACCAAACCACATGACAAAAAGCATAGACCCAACAAAATACATGGGTGACTGGGTGAGTAGTAGAGTATNAGCATGTTGCAAGTTGTGAACAAAACCAGATGACAAAAAGCATAGACCCAACAAAATACATGGGTGACTGGGTGAGTAGTAGAGTATAGGTTATCTAGAAGGCTACATGGGCCTTAAAGCATGTTGCAAGTTGTGATAGAAAGTTTTATTTCAGAAATTGCCCAAGTCTTCCCTGAAATTAAAAATTTGCAATCGAAATTGCACCGGAGGAAAAATAAAAAAAGACACATTTTTTATGGAGCTTTCTATCAGTACTCTGCAACAAATTATTATTGTTTCTTAAATTTTTATCATAGAATCCTAATATGCAAACCACATGACAAAAAGCATGGACCCAACGAAATACAATATAGTGCAACTCATAGTATAAATGGTGACTGGGTGAGTAGTAGAGTATAGGGTATCTAGAAGGCTACATGGGCCTTACCCATGGCCCACAAAAATATTTGTAGATGCGCTTCATAAAATAAGACTCGGACAAAGGGCCACTGGACTTCGACTATTATAACAGAAAAAAGTCAACAAACACAAACACGAAAAATAAAAACAGATCTATAGTTTCATCCATCATGGGCTTAAGAAAAATTAAATAGAGCCCAATAAAACATTTTCAACCCCAAAATTCGAACATCAGAATGAAAAATGACGAATCTATTACTCACTGCAAAAAAAATTAAAAACAGCCAAAAATTCACGGGAAGAACTGAAGGCGGCATCTGAAAATCGAGTAAATCAACTGTAAAACACTATAAAACCGCAGGAAAAAAAATCTTCAGAAAAAATTCAAATCTATGACAATAAACAAATCGGAAAAAACAAAAACAAAAATGGAACCAAATATTTATCGACATCAACGAAAAAATAGAAGAAATCAACAAATTCTGAATCGAAATCAAGAATACAAGGTTGGTACTGTTCGAATACATTCATATTCAGATCTAGACATCCGTACCTCAAGATAAACAGATTTAAGAGAAACCAAGGTGATTAACAAACCTCTATTGCTAAATCTCGCGCCGAATCTAGGGTTTCACACAGAGGAAGAGGAGAGAGAAAGCCGAAGGAGGAGAGGAGAGAGAAAGAGAGAATTGGGCTTGAGCCAATTGAATTGGACCTATAATTTTTTAGGG